GCACATTTTTTTCTAAAACTGCAGACATCAAAGATTGAAATACTAAATATTTAATCCAATATCATTTATCGATGCTATACATAATAAATTTCACTATTTCGATGAGTAATACCCTGATTAAGTTTTATTTTATAAAAAAGAGGACTGAAGCGAGTGCAATTTCAAGATACGATATTGTAACTTTTAGCGAAAGAGGCGCTAACTCCATATCTTCTTTCCCACCCGAGCATTTTATAATTCATCGAAAAATACATTTCTCTGAGAGGCGTCATTTCCCTTCGCTCGGGTCCACCTAAATATTTATTCCCGAAACGTTGAGTTAAGTTTCTCGCTGTCCGTTGACCCGGCAGAAATTGTTCTTGACGAACTCGTAGAACGAGAGCGGAACTTGCGTCCCCGCGGAGGCGAAATACGTCCGTCTAGAATCCAGACTTCGGGGCCCGCATTCATATCACGCGTTTATACGCTACCGAATGTATTTTGCGTATTAATCTCGAATATACGTATGTATTTATGGCACGCCAGATGTGAATTTCGCCTGTCTCGTCTTGCATGTATCCCCACCGCCTGGCGAGCTCGCTTGTCTCACGTTGAAATCGCGCGCGCGAGGTTCGCGCGTAAAATGAAAGACAGAGAGAAAAAGACACACCTGAGGAGGGAAGAGGAGAGACACTTCCCGCCCTCAAATCACACGTATTCTTACTCCCAAAGACTGCCGTGGCAATCATCATAATTGACCGTAATTCGCTATTAGCCTTCGGGAAACGTAATTAGAATCGCATGACCGCGTTTAGCGTTAAACGCGGCGTGGCCTAGGCGAACCCGAGTGACCCCGACGATGGTGTGTTCGCCAGGTACGAGGTCGTACTTCTGAGCACGCACGCGTAACGGCTGCGGACGAGCACCCCAAAAACGATGTTAAGCCAGCCGCGCGCGGTGCCGGCGCTGATATAGAGGCCCCCCCCCCCCTCCCCCCAACACAGACGCACGCCCGCGAGATAATTCACCACGGATGGGACTCGTGAAAAATTTAAGGCCGCATTAAATTAAGGAGGCCGCGCGCGCGTCGCGTCGCACGGCGGCGTCATCGCGTCCGGCTCTATAAACCCTTGAAATTCCTGCTGGAACACGTCCATCCGGTGACGAATTAAGCCGTTCAATTAGAGACCGCCGCGAGATACGCTCTTTTGGAGATGCGCCCTTTGGCGATGCGTGTCGCGACGTAATAATGAAGAGGCATAACGCGCGCTCGCGCGGACACGCTTTCATCTTCCGTTCTCCGCTCCGCCGATGACCGAAGTCCGGACGACAGAGACACGCGAACGATTTACAAAATTTCAAATTTCGCAATTGCAATCTTTTCTTCGTAGTGAACGTGGTGGATATACTTTTAAATCGTGCGTGGTTTTGAATCGTAAATGCGATTTTAAAAATACATATACAATTAAAATTTTTTTTAAATAAAAAGATAAATTTTTTTTTAAAAGATGAGTCAAAAGGTGCAAAAAGAAAATCAAATGTACATTCATGACATTTAAATCATGTGAAGTGAAAATAATTTTTATTTTATCATTCATTTAGATAAGCATTTAATGAATGAGTATGTCATTACAAGTGCGATTCAAGCTACATTTGCAATGTTTAATTGTAGGTGTGATTTTGTGATTAAAAATTTAACTGTATATCGCGACTCAGAA